GTGCGGACTAATCTCACATACTGTTGAATCCAAATACTAAATACAAAAAAAATATATATAATTGTGCAGTATTTGAAATTTTTAATATCAAAATGGAGCATGTGGTCATTAAAATATACTACAAAACTATGGTTTTGTTATAACAAAAAGTTAGGAAATTATGAAAATAATACTCCTAACTTTGGAGTATTTGTTTACATAATAAAAGTTAGGAGTATTCTTTACATAATAAAGTACCAATATTATTAAGCGAACTAATTTGTACGGTTAAAAACTTTAGAATGATAGTATAATTTATTCTATTTTGGTCAGTAAACTTGCAGAATGGTGAAATTTAGAATATTATATATCGTGCGATTATATATACTCAATTGGTTGGTAAAAATTTGTAGACTCGCATAATTTTTGACTACTCTATGAATTATCAATCAGACCCTACAATTTTAGTATTAATGACAAAGTACTATTTTGAAACCATCTATCATTCCTATCACATGTTACCATTCATAGAAGCTACTTAATGTCTTGAACTTTTTTTGAAAGGAACTTGCAATAAGATTAAAATGAGTTATAATTAATGGAAATTATATTATGATGTTGGGTAAGAACACCAATAATCGAATTTTTCTAGGACCATCACTGTAATGAATAAAGTTTTGAGCTATAATAACAATTTAGGTCAAAACAAAGAAGAAATTTAATTTGATTGAGTGTTTTCGTGACCGTTTGATGGGTCATCGTTTTCACTTTTTAGTTCTTCTTCTTATCATTGTTAATCATTATGTTCTGTTTGCCCTTATTATTCAGTAAATATTAGAGCATCATTTTTCATGAGACATTCCCTTCTATTTAATTATATGTCCTAACTTAATCATGACCTCGTAGTTATATAATCAGTCACGCTATTTTTGTCATGATATTTTCAATTAAAAAATCCAGAATCATGTCCCATGGTTAGCAAAACGATCAGCATATAGCCATGAATTAGATTATATTATACGTACAATGAATTTGTGTACATAAAACAGTAATTACGATGACCTGAAAAATGGTAAGAAGTACGATGTCAACCGTCAATATATATATATATTAACTTCCAATATAATTTTTCCTTTTTTTTCTTCTTTCCAACAACTTCCGCTTTGATTTATAAATCTCTTAAAACTTAAGAAATTCAAAGTCGCCATCATTAACGTGTGACCAAGAATTACGCTGGCCGGTCAAACTAATTATGGTCTTCAATAATTTTCAACAGACAGTCTTAACGTTTTCAAGAAAATCACTAGTATTACTTATGGTTTTCTTTATTGAAAAACTTAAAAAAATGCCATTTTTCAAAAATACAAAACTGTTTCATTTTAAA